AACGGTATAGGTTAAGTAATAATTGTAATTCAGATTCAGATTCAGATTCAGATGTTTATTCAGGTAAGGTATATACATACAAGTGATGTTACATTAATGGATTGATATATAGATAGAGCTAGTACATACAATGCCTAAAGCCACTATTACGCAATGCGTTTCGGGCAAGAAAAACATTAATATCTAGAACTTAATACTAATTGAGCATAAAGAATAAAAAGTGTTGAGAACAAATACAAATAAAGATAAAAAAAAAAAAAAAGGGGGAACATGACTGAAAAAGCAGCACAAATACAATAGGTTGACAAACAGTGTTGATTAAAAAAAAAGAAAATAACGGACATGGGTTGACAATAGAGGAGTGAGGTAGGTTACAGGGAATTTATTAGGTAGTGTTTAGTTTTTATCTTAAACTGGTTGAGAGAGGTACTGTCTTTAACATGGTTGGGAAGGTCATTCCACATTCTGGGCCCCTTGATTTGTAGAGCATTTCTGGTTTGATTAAGTCGTACTCTAGGAATATCAAAACTGTATTTATTTCTGGTGTGGTGCTCATGGGTTCTGTTACAACCTTCTATGAAGCTTTTGAGATCAGGATTGGCATTACAATTTAGCGTTTTGTATATGTATAGTACACATGAGAGAATGTGCAGTGACTTAATGTCTAACATATTCAGGGATTTGAATAGGGGTACCGAGTGATGTCTGGGGCCAGAATTGGATATTGTCCTAATAGCAGCTTTGTGTTGAGTAATTAGAGGACGTAAATGATTTTGGGTAGTAGAGCCCCAAGCACAAATACCATAGTTGAGATATGGATAGATAAGGGAGTAATAGAGAGTCACCAGGGCAGGGCGTGGTACATAATATCTAATAATAATAATAGTACATAATAATTAATAATAAATTATTAAACGAAGTCTGATTCTGGTATGTCTTCCTGGCTATTGGCTTTCCTTCTCTGTCTCATTGCCTCCGATTGCTTGGCAAGTGACTCCTCGAACTCGAAGAGACCTTTCTGAACATACTGCCTCCAGGCTGATCGGTCTGCGGCCAGTGTTTCCCATGTGGCAAGATCGACGTCCATGGCTTTCAGGTCCCTCTTGCATTCGTCTTTATACCGTAGCTTTATACCTATTGGACGTTTTCCTTGCATCAGCTCTCCGTACTTGGGAAGATCCTTGTGGATCCTGCCCATTCGCATCACCTGCCCGAGCCAGCGCATTCGTCTCTGCTTCAGCATTGTGTATATGCTGGTGATTCTAGCTCTCCCCAGGACGCTGTTGTTTGTCACCTTGTCCTGCCAGGTGAGTTCCAAGATGTGTCGAAGGCAGCACACGTGGTTGGCATTCAGCTTTCTCTCCTGACGGGCACGGAGAGCCAAAGACTCACTGCCATATAGGAGAGTGCTCTGGACGCAGGCTCTGTAAACTTGGATCTTTGTATACTCAGTCAATAAGGGGCTCTTATTGTTGGCCCACACTCTCTTTGTCAGTCTGGACATGGTTGTAGACGCCTTACCGATGCATTTGTTTAGCTCTGTGTCGAGAGAGAGGGAATCAGAGATTGTGGAGCCTAGGTACATGTCGTGAACGACTTCCAGTTTGTAATTCCATGACCTGTGTTTTCTTCAGGCTGATGAAAGCCGAGAGCCTGACAGACCTCGCGGAAGCGGATCATTAGCTGTTGGAGGTCTTCAGCTGAGTGGGCGGTGACTGCTGCATCGTCAGCAAAAAGGAAGTCGCGCAGACACCTCAGCTGAATCTTTGTCTCGCCTCTTAGCCTGGCGAGTTGAAGAGCTTTCCGTCCGACCTGGTCCGGAGGGAGATGCCTTCTGTGGCAGATCCGAAGGCGTGCTGCAGCATAACTGCGAAGAAAATTCCGAATAGGGTTGAAGCTAGGACGCAGCCCTGCTTTACTCTGCTTTGGATGTCGAAGGCATCCGATGTTTTAAACCGTTAAAGACCGCGGTGCTCTTCATTTTCTCGTGGAAGAATCTGGTGATGCTGAGGAGCCTGGGTGTGCATCCGATTTTGGGGGAGGATCTTGAACAGGCCATCCCTGCTGATGAGGGATGGCCTTCGTCAGGGAAGAGATGGCTGACGAGGGAAGGCCTTTGTCAGATCTATGAAGGCTGCAAAGAGTGACTGCATCTGTTCCCTGCATTCCTCCTGCAGTTGTCTGAGGAAAAGGACCATGTCGATAGTGGACCTGTTAGCTTGGAATCCGCACTGTAATTCTGAATAGATTCTCTCCGCGAGTACTTGGAGCCTCTTCAATGTAACTCGAGCAAACAGCTTTCCCACAATGACGAGGAGGGAGATGCCGTGGTAATTGTTGCAGTCGCCCGTCACCATTGTTCTTGTACAATGGGACAATGTTGGCATCCCTCATGTTCTGTGGCACCTCTCCTTCTCTCCAGCAGAGACAGAGAATTACATGCAGCTCCATGAGTAGGATTCCTTTGCAGCACTTCAAGCCTTAGCAGGAATGCCGACTTTTCCAGGAGCTTTACCAGAAGCAAGGGAATCTAGGGCCTGGCTGAGTTCTTCGAGGGTCGGTTCGCTGTCGAGCACCATGAACACAGGCAGACACTCAATGGCACTCGGGGCGTCTTCGGTGACCACATTTTCCCTGGCGTATAGCTCAGAGAAGCGCTCGACCCAGCACTTCAGCATCAGTGTCTGGTCCTGAATCACCTCGCCTGTGGCAGATTTCATGGGGGGGAGCGCGGTCTCCTTCTGGATTGGGCCAAGAGCCTGCTTGATACCGTCTGTTACGGTATCGCCACCGTCGTTGGAGTGTAGAGTGGCAATTCTAGCGCCATCTATGGGTCTGCACTCCAGCCCCCCCCCCTCCCGTGATATTGGACGCTACGTGGACAACGCCATCTATTGGTGGATCTTCTTTGTTTGCATCTTGACCTTGCTACATACCAACGAGTGGTCAGTATCACAGACAGCAATCTGATAGCTATGCGTAATCTTGATGCTGGGTAGACTTGTACGCCTGGTAAGATTCGGATCAAGCTGGTGCCAGTGCTTGAATCTGGAGGCGTCTCCAAGAGGCTCGGTGTTGAGGCTTTGTGCCGAAGAACGTGTTGGTGACGCAGACAGCTGAGTGGACAGTGCTTCAGATTCGTAGTCCTGAGGTTCCAGGTTTGATCCACGGTGATGGCGGAGACAAATGGGTAAAAAATATATTTCACCCTGATGCCCCTGTTACCTAGCAGTAAATAGGTACCTGGGAGTTAGACAGCTGGTACAGGCTGTTTCTTGGGGGATGTGAAACAAAAAAGAGGCCTGGTCAAGGACCGGGCCGCGGGGACGCTAAGCCCCAAAATCATCTCGAGAAAACAGAGACCACGAAGGCATCAGAGTTCTAACAGACGTTGCCTGTTCTCATTCATCCTCCCTATGCAAAATTGGCCCAGGCATGTGGGCCAAGAGTTGTGATCAGCACCCACTCTGGCAGACTGTTCCTCGGTCACTTGTTTCTTGATAGAATTCTTGGTGAATCAGATAATTTAATGTCCTTCACCTTATGCGTTTCTGTTTTAGTATTAGCATCCTTAGTGACATTTAACATCCTATGATTATCCTGCACATTTGATGGTGCTACATACCCTTCCCGGCTTGGTGCCTTCTTTTGATAATTACATTACATTACCCACTTTGGCGCCGAAGTCGCCGAGGATGAACAGTGGCTCCTTTATAGGGATTCTCGGTATGACTGTTGGTCATCATACAATTTGTCCTTCACCTCTGCTGAAGATGTAAGGGTTGGTGTGCATGCACTATTACACTGATTGGTCCTGTTTGGTAGTGCAGCTAGAGACACAAAATTTGTTTGTGTTCCCTGTCGGTGGTATAACATGTTCCAATAGTGGATTCCTGACGGCAAATCCCACACCGTGTTCCCTGGTCTCATCTGGAGGTTTTCCATGCCAGGAGAAGGCCCTCTCTCTCTCTCACAGATTCTGATCCTGGGAGCCTGGTCTCTTGGAGAGCAACGATATTCATCTGCAGTTTGCTCAGCTCCTTATCGATGACTGCTGTTTTTCAGGCATCATTGATTTCTTGCAGGTTGTCTGAGAAACCTGGTGTCAGTGTCCTGACGTTCCATGTACCCAGCTTTAGGGAAGTTTATATTTTCTTTCTGGATTTGGTATTGTTTGGTGCAAAGTTGTCAGTCCGCTTGTCGGGTTTCACCCTAAACCCCACGCACCCAGGGAGGTTAACGGACCGTGACGAGGCAACACCTTATTGTCTGGGGTTTGCCCAGCATGAGACGGTCAGTAGCTGCCCAGAAGTGTGCGATGGCCCCCCTCCCACCATCGGCAGCAGCCCCTGGGGTCATGCTCTTTGCCAATCGAGGTGAAGACTTAAAACCGGTAGACTGTCACTTCCCGTGTTGGTTCGACGCTGTGAGGTGAGGCTGGAGTGTCCTCTCCAGGATACTCCACTGTAGTGTAAACTGTAGTATATTTTAAGTAATACTGAATTAATAATCATTAGTAGATTTGAATAATGTTAATTTACTATAATATAATCAGTCCTAGTAAGTAGTTATCAAAAGAAGGCACCAAGCCAAGGAGGCTATGTAGCACCATCAAATGTTATGGGAATAATCAAAAGAAGCTAAATATAAAAAAGGATGCCAATACGAGAACAAAAGCACATAAGGCGAACAACATCAAAGGTATCCGATTCACCAAGGATTCTATCGAGGGACAGGTGACAGTTGGGATGCAAGACGACCGCACATCCTGGAAGTCAGAACATTCAACAAGGATATGCACAACTGTAAGAGGGACAATGCAGTTTGGACAATAAGGAGCAGGGCGGCGCTCCAGAAACTAAACAATAGGGTAGTAAATCAGTAACTCTAATCCGTCACCAAAACAGTTCTCCCCATATTAGCATGAAACACACAAAATGAATACAACACTGAAACATGAAATCCATTGATAATCTTGTGGATCCATTGAAACAAATGTATTTGTTAATAATATTATATTATATGTATAATACATTACTATTATAATACATTATAATAGTATTGTAATATGTGTAATACACAGGACTTCCATTGAACAAAATATAAAAATTCACCATCCCTTGATATAGCTTTGTATCAATTCCAAATTTCATACATAAACACTTCTGCACAAATTATATCATAAAAATAACTCCTTGATCCTGAGCAAGGCAACAGTAACTCTGATGTTCCACAAACTGGTATGTTTATGGTATGTATGGTTTTATTAGAGTTTCTGAGAAAGCCTTTACTTGATCCACACCACGGACTTCGTGTTCAAGGAGTGGGAGTTTTATCACATGGAAATCCTCATACAAATCAGCGATCTGGAATGAAAATTGCACATATGAAGCTTTCAACTAAATTTAGCAATAGAGTACCATTTACTTTCACATTAACTAGTTTCTCATAACAGCAAGCTGGATAACTTTAGAGGCTCGTCACAGACATATCGCAATCGGGAAGGTAATGTAGACATTCCTTGTTGCATTTCTCTTGCACTTTCTCACTTGTTTGGTCATGATGAGCAGTCCTCATGTTTTCCACATTTAATCCCTCACTAAATGTAGTTACAGCACAAGAACTATGTGGTGGTCGCCCATCTTTCTTTGTGTATGTGTATGTACATGTGAGTGTATGTACACATGTGTGTATTCACCTAGCTGTGCTTATGACATGAAAAATTTCACCCTTGGATCTTGATTCCTAGCTATCAGGTACCTGATGCATTGATTCCTCTCAAAGTTCTTGCAATATATTCCTCTTCTTCATTAATATCTTCCAGCTTGTACAAAGTGTTTGCAGCTTTGCATATCATAATAATAACAATTACACAGAAATCACACTATCGTGATCTATCTCAGTGAGAAAATCAACTGGAGCTCATAGGCGACTCGAACCCCACTACCAAAGGATTGAACTGCCAGCAACCACATCTACCACTGTACCATCCTGACCTGCTTCAGTTATACAACCTGAGAGTCTACTGAATCGACAGGATGTCTGGAGGTCTCTCCTGAAGGCATTCCAAGTTTTACACATAGCCCCCAGGCACCCGGGTGTGGGTATAGTAGGTCAACACAGTATGACCCAACATCAATTACACAGAAATCAGGGTGGGTGATACAATGGTAGAGGTGGTGGCTGGTTGTCTGTTGGTCATAGGTGCGAGTCACCTAAGAGCTCCAGTTGATTTTCTCATTGATCTGTATCACTTTACTGTGATTTATCTGTGTAAATGATGTTGGTGCATAGTGTTGACCTACTTTACCCACATCCAGGTGCCTGGGGGTTATACAAAAACTAGAATCGCTTCAGGAGAAGCCTCCAGACCTGTCGATTCAGCAGAATCGGTTGAATAACTTGGTCAGGTAAGGATGGTACAGTGGTAGAGGTGGCAGCAGGCTGTCCATTGGTTGCAGGTTTGAATCACCTAAGAGCTCCAGCTGATTTTATCAATAATAATAACAATAATAATTCCCACTGTTGGGAACAGTAGGCCTGTGTAATTACCCAAGTGCAGTTACAGGATAAGAGTTACACTCATGGAGACCCGTCTTTCCAGTATTCTTTGTTACATAACACTTTGAAACTACTAACGGTTTTGGCCTCCACAAACCTTCTCACTTAACTTGTCCCAACCGTCTACCATTCTGTTTGCAAAAGAAAACTTTCTAATATTTTTTGGCACCTTTATATCCTGAGCTTGAATCTACGTATTATACACATACACACCCAAGTATAATTAGGAGAGAAGGTGGTAGAGGCCAAAACCGTCAGTACTTTCAAAGTGTTATATGACAAAGAGTGCTGGGAAGATGGGACACCACGAGCATAGCACTCATCCTGTAACTACACTTAAATAATTACTAGATAATTATAAAATTAAGTGATTTAACTCTATTCTAGCTATAATATATACATAATGAGAGTCAATCATTACATACAGAAATCACAATAGTGTGATACATCAAATGAACAAATCCACAAGGGCCGTGATGAGGGTTCATCAACATCATGGCCCCTTGTGGATTTGTTCAGTCAATCATATTCATATATTGTCTGGCTATGAACATAAAATTATATATTATATATATACATAATTATTTTTTATATTTCTTAAATATCTGACCCTCATCAGTAATCTATTTACTTTTACTCATGTGATAGAAGTTTGACACACACTATCATGCTTGCCTTTCACGAGATACCTTGCTACAGCAGCACCAGCAGGTTAACAGTCATTATCCTCGTATCATTTATTCTTTGAGAATTTTCCTGATTTTTATTATATTGGTCACTTACCTACCATACTAAACATATTCATGAATAGTCACACAGGGTAATTTTTTTTAATATTGCCGTTTTTAAATTCTACAAATGTCAATTTTGCCCTCTAATGATGGAACAATCTATCTTTTTGTCACGTCTTAATAAGCTCTCACCTGGTCTAGATATTTGGCTTGAATACGGCATCGAGCAGAGCACATGGAGCAGGAATGCTCACCAGGTTTTTGAAACAGGAGTTGGTTGACCACTATATTGTGTGTGTCAATGCCATATCGGGTTAGTTCCTGAACCAGCCGCTCTGTTTCATACAGAGATAAAAACTCAGCAATGCAAACACACACAAATGTTGTCTGGTCCTGAAAAAAGAAGATAAAATAAATAATTTTGAAAGAAAAAAATTACAAGCAAAACACAAAACCTGTGTGTATAAAGTGCAGATGGATTCAGTATAATCAGTTTCAGAACATCTTGAAGTTATCTCGAGATGATTTTGATCTACTGTATCCAGCAGATCTGGAGTAGTCAATTTGGGAAGATAATTGGGAGTAGTTGCCTCATCCAACAATGACAGATTGGAATTCTTAAAGAAGAAACAAGCTCCTACTGTAATTGAATAGCAAAAATTTCCAGAGTTGAATACAAACCGAGATCTTCCTCAAAGTAGACCTGAGCATTGTGGTCAACAGAAAATAGAGTTACAGGCAACTTAGAAATCTTGACATGAAGGCCCCCTCCCCTCCGGCCCCTGCACGCACGTGCATGGGGGCCTAGCGGAGGGCCACCAAAATAATATAAGTGGTCCTATAGTAACACTGAAGGCATACCCCCACCAGACAAACAAAACAAAAAGTAAAAGAAAACCCCCACAAAAGTACAATGTTTCCAAAGGAAACAGGAACCAGCTGCTTCATAGGTAAGCTGGCTGCATAATACCTAGATGCCCCAACCAGCAACAATACCATTTCCTACCCAAGGCCAAATAAGGGCCAAGAAACCCCATCTAGCCCTAAGGGCGGGGTGTGCCGAGTAGCAAAAAACCCCCTATGGAAATAGCGTCCCAAAAGAATCCAGGAAGAGAACCCCGACACTCAAGGGTAGTACTCACAGGGAAGTTAAGGAAGGCCCTAAGAGCATGCAGCCCCGGTACACTTAAGTACACTTGGCCAGCACAACGCGAACAGCAGAGGATACCACTAAGGCACAACACTCCCAGGAAACTGAGGCCCAGAGTTGACAACTGCCCCGGATCGCATTAGCTAATGAACTGGAGTTGGTGGATAGCCGGCGCGGGGGTTCCAGGGTTTCCCCCTCCCCCTCCCGGGGAGGGCTGTGTGGATGGGTGGCGCAGCAGCGAGGTGTGATGTTTGCTTGTTACTTGTTTCCTTGGGATTTGAGGGAGTTCTGCCTCTTTGGTTTTTGGTTGAAATTTTCTTACCATGTGGGGTCTATTTTGTTATGCCTACCTTTCTGGGTGCCTAACCCTAGTCAATGGCAGACAATAATAATAATAAAAAAAAAAAACACAGGGAGGTTTTCCAGGGGCCATTGCTCCCTGTGCTTCTCCGAGGGGGTCCAGGTTCTGGCTCGTGGTCCCCAATAGGCTGAACTCCATTGACTAATGCCCTGGTCTATTGTATCGCATATTAGCCCGATAGCTCCAGGGAGCCGGAGGGCTTCCCACAGAAACACTGACCAAACTGTCAATAAATCCAGCGTTGAATGTAATGAAACGTCATTTTCTGGGTGAGTCCCGGAGGCTTCCCGGAGCTATCCAGGCTGAATGGATATGTATAACTTTCTGGCATCAGTCAATGCATGGAGTTCTTGCCTACCGGAGACCACGAGCCAGAACCTGGCCCCCTCTAGAGAGGCACGAGTAGCAATGGCCTATAGAGACCCCCTTTATGATTGGGAGCATTCTATGTCTGCCATTGATCGGGACAGGCACCCAGAAAGGTAGGCGCCCTAAAACAAACCCCTATTCTGGTAAACTATTGCGACCGAAGACCGAACAGGTGGACAGAACTTCCCAAACGAAAATTAGCCCTCATGACTTCATCATATCGCCGCGCCGCCTTCTGCGCAACCCCCCTCCTCCCTGGGAGGGGGAAGGGGGGAGCCCCAGACCCCACCGTCGGCGACCCAACCATTAGTTCTTAAGCTGGATGTCAAAAACGCGAAAAACACCGCCGACCGGAGGGAGGGATGGATGTCGGGGAGCCTCCGGGACTCACCCAGAAAATGCCGTTTCATTACATTCAATGCTGGATTTCTGGGGGGAGCCCCGTCGGCTCTCCGGAGCTAACTACCCAAAGATAAGGAAAAAACAGGGACTTACCCGGGCGGCGGTCAGTCCTCACTCCTCAACGCGAAGGCGAGACAACTGGCTGCAACCGTCGACCCAAAGCAACGCAGGCCTGACGAGGCCCAGGAACATTCACCAGGTAGCGAGCGGCCAGGACCCTGTTCGATCTCCAAAAACCCCGGGCCCGAATGTCCACCCAAGACATGTTGCCAAAGACAGCCGCCAAAGCAGCAAATTTACGAATGTCGTGGGCCCGGGGAAAAACCGCAGGCTGGCTACACTTAATAACCCTGCGAACAACCTGAGAGACCCGAGCCCGGGAACAGGGAAGAGGGGAAACCGGATCAACCCAGAGCACATCCCCAGCAACAGAAGCCGTGGCGTGCAAATAACGGCGGAGAGCCGCAACCGGACACAACACATGATGCACCCCCGGCCAGACCAACCAAGCATCAACAACCCACGGCCCCCTCCGGAACGCAGCCGACTCATTCTTCGCCAGAAAAGAGGGAGACGGCAGCAAACGAACAAAACGACCACCAGGACCGAAAGAGCAGAAACCCCGGCGCCGGAGGAGAGCATGAAGCTCGCCAACCCGACCCCCCGAGGCTAATGCCAACAGGAAAAGAGCCTTGGAAAAACAATCCCGAACGGAAGGGGCCACCACAAACCGGGGCAGAGATAGAAACGAGAGCACACAGTCCAAAGACCAAGACGGCTCAGACGGCGCATGAGCAGGCCGGAGGTGAAACCACGCCCAGGATAACTTGCGAAACGGGGCAGAAGTACTGTAACATCAACTCCGAAAGCAAGCTGAAGCGGCTCCGCCAACGCCGCACGATACGAAGCAACAGTATTCGGCATAAGATGACGGTCCTGAAACAGCCAAGAGAGAAAGGACAGAACAACCCTATCAGAGACCGAAGAACACCGACACAGTGATAGGAAAAACCAGAAGGACCGCCAGGAAACCTCATACTGCCGCTGAGAAGAAGCACCCAGGTGGGAGACCAACAACGAAGCCACCTGCGCACCATACAACGAATGATAAACCCGAGTCAAAAACACCAGACACGAAGACTCGAGGAGAAGATGGAACCAGCCTCGTACAGGGCCTGACAGATCTGCTGAAAGAGGAGCCACGGGAAGACCCTCGGGTACGGACACCGAGCAAGCAGTGCCTGAAACCAAGGCTGGGCCGGCCACCAAGGGGCCAGAAGGACCACACGACCCTGGTAAGTCTCCAAGCGAGTCAGGACCTGGAGCAACAGCGGAACCGGGGGAAAGAGGTACAGGTAATCCCACCTCGCCCAGTCCAGCCGGAAGGCGTCGATCCCGACGGCTTCGCAGTCGGGAAAGGGCGCCACATAAACGGGAAGACGCCTTGACCACGCCGACGCGAAGAGATCCACGTCCGGAGTCCCGAACATCCAGCACAACCAACGGAAGGAGTCGGCATTGATCGTCCACTCCGAGGACAGGGGACGAAACTGGGACAGGCCGTCCGCCAGGACGTTGGACACCCCCCGGACATGAACCGCCAGGAGAGCCAAACCCCGAGAACTCAGCAGACGAGTAACCCAAAGCGACCAGCCCCAAAGAGCCAAGGATCGCATCGAACCCCCTCGGTTCAAACAATGAACCACCGGAGTGCAGTCAGAATGGAGCCGGATCGTCGATCCGCGAGCGACTCGAATCCTCCTGAGCGACATCCACACTGCCGTGAATTCCCGCACTGTGCTGTGAGCCCGACGGAAAGACGGAACCCACCGTCCCTGGCCGGCCTGGTGAGCACTGGTCACAAAACCCCAGCCAAGAGACGACGCGTCCGTGTACACATCGAGCGAGGGCACAGGAAGGCGCCAAGGCACCGAACCCCGAAAAACCTGAAGAGGAAGCCAGCGACGCAGCAACCGACGCAAAGCCCCTGGAGGTCGAACCCAACGATCGCGAGAGAGGCGGAAGGGCCGGCCCCGAAGGAACCAGAACAGCCGACGAAGCCACACCCGACCCGGCGGGTAGACCATCATGGCAAAGTTCAGGCTCCCGCACAAACTCTCGAGCAACCACCTTGTGACCCGGGAACCCCTCAGAAACGGGCGAAGGCGGGACCGCAGGCGCAAGAGAGCCGCCGGAGGAAGAGACAAGGAAGCAGTCCGAGCGTTCCAAACCAGACCCAGCCAAGACCAAACCTGAGAGGGAACCAGATGGGACTTCCGCCAGTTCACCAAGAACCCGAACCTGGCGAGCTGGGAAAGAACCAAATCCCTGGCGAGCAGACACGCGGACCGGCTGGGAGCCCAAACCAGCCAGTCGTCGAGATAGGCCAGCACCCGAACACCTAGCAGACGCAGGCGGGTCACCACGACCCGAGTGAGGCGTGTGAAAATGCGTGGCGCCAGATTCAACCCAAAGGGAAGACAACAAAGCGGTAACCTTGACGCCCCACAACAAAACCGAGCCAGTCCCTGATCTCCGGATGAACCGGGACGTGCCAATACGCGTCCTTGAGATCCAGGGACACCATCCAAGCGCCCCTCTCCAAGAGAAGACAGACCTGGGACAGCGTAGTCATCCGAAAGGAGGGGCACAACACCCACGGGTTCAGACGGGACAAGTCCAGAATGAACCGGAGGTCCGCGCAGTCCTGTTTCAGAACCGGAAACAGGCGGGAAACTCACCTGAGGGACGACGTCGTTTCGACTACGCCCAAGCGAACCCACTCCGAGATGACCTGACAGAGCGCAGGAGAAGAGGCCTGCCCCGCAAGCCCCGAACCCCCCGAGGGAGGAAGAGCCACCCAACGCCACCACAGGCCGCGTGAAACGACCCGAAAAGCCCATGAATCGTGGGACCAGGTGTGGGCAAACCGGGTGAGCCGCGCCCCCATTGCCCCGTCAATGGGGCGAACCGCGAAAGGGCCGATGCACCTTGCGAGAACCAAGGCGGCGAACAGGACGGAGCCCACTCTGTCCAGCAACAGCCAGAACCGAAGGCGCCGCCAGCCCCGAATCTGGCACCAAAGGCCTACCCCGACGAAAAGACCCCCGAGCCCTGGCACGACCCTTCCGGGAAGGCCCCCCACGAGCCCCCGGAGCAACAACAACTCCGACATAGGCCAACAACTAACCGAGGCTGCCTGCAGATACTGCCCCACTGCAGACTCCGCAAACAGCAACGGACAAAAGGGCGAGGATAAACGAAGAGCCAGGGCCCAGGCAGACTCCAAGGAGGAAGCTAGCACCGCCTGACGACACGCGAGGCGAGAAGCATAGAACCGCGAAACCGCATCACACAGGATGGGCGCGAAGAGCTTCAACAAAGCAGACGACGCCCACACAGCCGAGGACAGTGCACCAGACCCAGCAGCGTCCCCAAGTGCTCCCACATCCAATTCAAGCCAATCCGAGGATAGCTCCAGGAGGGAAAAGAAACGCAGAGCCGAAGCAAGCAGGCCACGATTCCGCAAATCCTCCGCAATCAAGGCAGCCGAGAGGGAAGGAACCTGCACGTGAAGCTGCATGACACCAACATCCCGCGGAAGGGCAGGGGCGAACAAACAAGCATTCAGATGCTCGAAAGCGCCCCCCAGGAAAACCTGCAACGCCAAGGAAACTTCTCGCCACTCAAGCGCACGGGACCGACAGAACGTGTGCCAAGCCTCCAATGAAAAGAGAGGACAGTCTGCCAACCAGGACGACTCCGGAACCTCATAACGAAACCAGCATGAACTTGGGGATCCGTACACGAAGGAACGAGGATCCATCAGGAAGGCATAATTCGGGTCACGCAAGAGGTAAGCCGTCAAGGCCTCCCGCACCTCCGAAGCCGAAACATGGGAAGCGGGAAACCTCTAGAAAGACGGAACCGAAGAACCCTCGGGATCACGGAACCGAACTTGGGGAGGGGTGGACACCAAATCCAATTCGTATGCGGAGGGAGGGAAAGAGAACCCCTCTCCTTGTAACACCAAGCCCCGCTCGGAGGGCAAAAAAAAAACCAGGCGGGGTCCAAAGGGGCCCAAGGCCCCCAAGCCAACCCCTCCCCAACCCCAGGAACCTCACCCAGAGGGCCCTTGGCCGAGCTGTCCTCCTGAGCCCCCACCCCCAAAGAAAAGGTGGGAGCAGCCGACAAAGCAGGAACAAAGGGGGCCCACTGGCTAGACCCAGAAGCTTCGGCAGAAGAACCAGGCTCGAATGCCTCCGCCCCTGCCCCAGAAGGGGACACCCCCAAGACCGCCCGAGTCTCACAACCGACTAAACCCTGCCCCGGCTCCGAAACCCTCAGACGTTTAGGAGCCGGCAGCAAGGGGGGAGGACCGAACGAGCAACAGAAGGGGAAGGACTTGGAGGGGCGGACGGAACCAGAGCCGAAGCGACCCCCAAGTCCGGGTTCCTATAACCAAAACGGGGCAGTCTAGGGGCATCCGGGGCAGCAACCAACCTAGCGCGTTGCAGCAACCTAAACCGAGCATGCAACGCCTCAGCTGCCCTCACCCGCATATCAGGCGCAGTAGCCTGGGTGAACTGGAGTACGTACAGACAACACATGTCGCACGACTCTTGGTCAAAACAATCACCGACCCAACAGGCAGCATGGCGGAGGCAAAACCGGTGAGTGTCCCCCCGAGACAAGGGGACAGAGCAACCGTCAAACTCGCAGGACGCGAGGGCGGACTCAGGGGTCACATCCATCGGACCAAGTAGCCCCCATGGGGTTTTCCAGGGCCCTTAGCCTTGATAACACGCTAAGGGAAGCCCAGGCAGGGTACTGCGAACCAGCACCCAAAACTACCAACAAACTGCTATAGCTGAACCCCCGGGACATGTACAATCACGGGGGCCAAGCGGGGAGGACCACCAAGTAGACAATCAGGAGACAAACCCCAAGAACAGCGATGGGGAATAAACAGGCAGACCCCCCCACCAGGCAAAAACAAAAACAAAAGAAAAACCCCGCAAGAGGACAACGTACCCAGGCGGAACAGAGCCGGCCGCTGTTATAGGTGAAAACTAGCTGTGCAGTACCCCGCGCCCCTGCCAGTAACGAAAACTACCCCCTACCCAGAGACAAACAAAGGCAAGAATAAACCCCAGCTGACCCCAAGGGCGGCCAAGTACTGAGCAGTACACGGCACAGCGGAGGTAGACCCCAAGGCGACCCAGGGAAGGTAGCCCTAAGCCCCAAGGGCAGTACTTACAGGGCACCTAGGGAAGATAACCCTAGGCGCATGCAGCCCGAGCACCGTGGAATAATACTCCTGGCCCACACACCACCGAAAGGGACAGCTCAGACCACCAGGAACAGAACTGCAACTGCAAATAGGAGCCAGAGGCATGACCGCACCAGATCCCATCAGCCTGAGAACTAATGGTTGGGTCGCCGACGGTGGGATCAAGGGCTCCTCCCTTCCCCCTCCCGGGGAGGAGGGGGGGGGGGTTGCGCAGACGGCGGCGCGGCTATATGATGATGTCATGAGGGCTAATTTTCGTTTGGGGAGTTCTGTCCACCTGTTCGGTCTTCGGTCACAATAGTTTACCAGAATAGGGGTTTGTTCTGGGGCGCCTACCTTTCTGGGTGCCTGTCCCGGTCGATGGCAGACATAGAATGCTCCCAATCATAAAGGGGGTCTCTATAGGCCATTGCTACTCGTGCCTCTCTAGAGGGGGCCAGGTTCTGGCTCGTGGTCCCCGGTAGGCAAGAACTCCATGCATTGACTGATGCCAGAAAGTTATACATATCCATTCAGCCTGGATAGCTCCGGGGAGCCGACGGGGCTCCCCCCAGAAAAACAGCCTATCCTCACTACAAATTTAAATTTTAATATACTGCCAATTATAATGTTCTAAACATATATGTAATCATTTATAACATTTTTAAGGCGTTTTATGAATTTTTCAGAGCAAACACACATTAGATTATAAGATTGGGATGTTTTTTTACATAATAAAACAAAGGAGCAACTCCTTCATAGAAGCTATTATATTATACTATATATCTTTTATCTTCCATTTTATAAGATCTGTTGCCTTGAGAATGTTTATCTTAATGAGAACTAAAAACTGAATGCAATTTTGTTTACATACTGGATTTTTGAACTGCTCGTTGACTTTCTGTATGACTGGAAGGATGCTCTCTAGCTTCCCCGACACTTCATCAGCATTAAATTCTTGCATACCAAGAAGTCCAGCAACCTGAAGATTTGTTCTACTATTAATTCAAAATCTGCATCTGAAATCTCATGTTAAACATTAGATGACAAGATTTTGAGTTTTAACACATGCCTATTTCATGCAACATCGCATTCCAAAACTTTCTAAATACAATTTTCACTGTTACATTTCCCAGTTTATCATTGATAATAGCCTTTTGCTACAGTTATTAATCTTGCTTAACCCTTTTGCTCCATCACCTCTGTTTTGGTCCAAATTTCCATCATGTGTCAAAATATTCCTAAATAATTACAGAAACTTTTATTTTGTACAGTATTACATTTCAAGGAAGGAAAAAAAAGCACCTGCATTATGAAAATGATTTTTTTTATGATAAAATATGTTCCTTCTTTCTTTTTAACAAAATATAGTTCATGAAACTCAATACCAGTCCATAAGTGTTCCCAAGGACAATATACAAGGACAATATTGTAAGGACTTCTGCAAGTTCCAATCTTGGTTTAAAGCATAGAGTATTTTGCAGTTGCATCTGGGAATGTGAAAATCTTAGATCATAGTTCTGTATTCATTGGCCTACCTGGTTTACAAAAGGACTGATCTGGTTCTTTAGCCTTAAAAGCTTGCCCAAGGACTTCTCAATAACTTGAGGAAATGAGAGCAGACGTAACGTATGACCAGTTGGGGCGGTGTCAAATACTACAACACTGAAGTTCATACCCTGCACTAACCTGAAAATCAAGGATAAATTTTGAACATATAATGCAATAACACATGAGTAATACCAAAGAAAACATTTTGCAAATTCATAAGAAACAATGCTTATCACAAGCGTGCCTCATCAAACATGCAATGACTTTTCATGACAATTTATTTCACTATTACCAATTGCACTGTGCCACCCAACATAACACCAGGTATGGCAGTGTGCTACCCAACTCAGGAGCGATGTTAAGATATCGTAAGATTCAAAATGCGCGGTCGGTAGGTTGGGAACGGGATGGATGACCGAGACATCCAGTGAGTGGCAGCCATTTTGAAACAAATTCCCAGCATGCCCCAGGGCTGCAGATTGGTTCAGTTCTGAGTGAGCAGCCATCGCTGGCGCTTGCGCCTCTGACTCCCAATCCCCTGTCAGATGCATTGTCAAAAGATCGCTCTCTGATGATGAAATTCAGACCTTATGGTTTGAAGATGATAAGGGTAGTGATATTGATGAAGCAAGACACGATAAAGACTTAACACAAGTGTAGGATACAAGTGATACAGCATGGATGATGATGACAAATGTGCATCAGATACAATAAAAAAGTAATTAGAAAGCACTGAAAATGCATTTAAAAAATTAATGAAAATCTATTTGTGGCAACTCGCTAGTTTTGAATCGCTTGTATAATCGCCGCTTGGAGCTTCCTGCACGAGAGAACACGTACGTATTGGTGACATCACATCGCATCTTCTCCACAGCCAAAGTAAGTAGTTTTTTCTATTTTTTTAATATGTACATGTTCAAGGAAGGGATTTTAACAATTTACAAAGAAATTGTTTTTGGCAACATTTCAATTTCCGCGCACCACCAGAATGTCACAATAAAAGCCGCACAGCACAGAGGTTAAAAATAGTCTTTTGTTAAGTGGCAATAATTATTGTTTATGCATTAATAGAGAGGAATTTATCTCCAGTATATTCATATTAGTATTATTAGTCAAATTTGTAAATGCAGGATATCTTCATCAACTACTAATTATGATTTGTGGATAGGACCTGCAAAGGGAAACAATAGTCATGGGAAATTTTCTAAAATATAGTAAAAATAAAGGTTACACTTTGGAAAATGATTTCTACTTCACAATACAAAAGATGCAACTGAAATTAGGTTTGAATTATGTGTATACAACAGTTTATCCAATGTCTTGGCTGTACCTGAACTAACCCAAATTAAATTAAGTGAAAGATAATAATAATATAGTACAGTACTAAACATTAATATGCAATAATCTTTCATTCAATTATCCCCCAGAGCCAGTAGTACACCACCTCTGGTTGTGGGTGTTAACTACAGTATAGCCACTTTAAAGAATATCCTGCATCTAATACAATGTTGCAACTTACAAAAATTATCAACTTCAATTTACTCCCTCATTGGAAAAATAAAGTCAACAAATATCAAAGAAAAAGCATAAGAATGGAAAACCGAAAAACAAAATTATGAAACTATTTATCAAATCCAAACGTAGATATAGAGAAAATGGATGAAACTCTTTACACTTGCAGTACAGTTTGCATAAGAAAAGAATTGTGAATGCAGGAAGAGAACCCACTTACTTCCTCGCTGAAGTGCTGCAATGGGCAATCAAGACAAATTCCCTACTGCCCAACAGAAAAGTTCTTGAAATACTAACTCCATAGAATATTAACAACTACAACCTTCAATGTGGCATTGTTTTTCATTGGCTACATTTTTCAGTGGCATTGGCTACAACAGTGGCATTAGTTTTTCAAGCATTATGGTTGAAGTCTTTGGCAGGAAAGTGACTGAAACAAAAATAAATTAGCAAAGTATATCTGGTGGAAGATATTGTGTGGTGCAGATATATGCAGCAACATCACCACAAAGCAAAGCATATGAGAGGCTGTAAATACAAGTAGGGCCCCTTAAAACTAAAATCTGAGCAGAAATAAGCCCTTTAGGTAACACTTGGGATGGAAGGAGAAGTATTAGCATTTGTTAAGTTTAAATATTTTGGAGGATATGAAAAAAAACCAGCATTGAAGGTAATGAAATGCCATTTTCTGGGAGATTCCTGGAGGCTCCCTGGAGCTATTTGACTGATATTAACTATATTAGTTTGAGGCTTCAGTCATATGGAGTTGTCATGCCTACTGGGGAATCACTAACCAGAACATGGTTCCCTCAGAGAGGCAAAGGGAGCAATGTCTTATGAAAAATCCACTCTGTGGGAGTATATTCATATCTGCCATCGACTGAGGTTGGCACCCAGGAAAGTAGGCGCCCCAAAACAGACCTCAACTGGTTGAAAATTGCAACCTGAGACTAAAACGGAGGCTAAAACCTCCCCCAAAGAAAAACATGGAAACGAGTAAACTGTCATCAACCCAATGCACCACTATGGCACCCCCTGCTCTTCACTGGTTCTATTTTGCATTTTCTTCCATATCTAGTATGTTGTTATTTTATACTGTGCAGATTTGGAACCTGGCCCTCCAGTATTTTCCATGGGTATATTATTTTATATCTCTCTCGTCTCCTTTCTAGTGAGTACATTTAGAGAGCTTTGAGACGATCCCAATAATTTAGGCTACCTCCCCATACCAACCTGCTCGACCAAGATAACACTTCAATCTGTTATCTAGAAACTGCTCAGTAGAACAATGTTGGTAATTTACATGCACAATGAGACAGGTAATAAATCCTCACTAAATAAAATATATGATACCTGAATACAGTGGAACCTCGGTTGATGACTGCCCTAGAGTACAAATTTTTTGGTTGACGTCAAATTCATCGTAAAATTTGAATTGGTGTACGACAGTTAACCTAGAAGACGATGTCTGTTCATACGCGTATGGGTCGAACGAGCACGTGGTGCTGGGGGCGCGGGGTGCAAGGCGAGGCACTCTCAGTTTGTTTACAAGTCCATCCCGCTTGAATTCTTTGTGAACACTTTCATTGTTTGCCTGCTTTTTTGCTTTTTAAACATAACAGTTCTTATATATATCATGCCATGGGGTCCCAAGTCAGTCAGTAGGTAAAGTTCAACCTAAGAAAACAATTGTGAGGATGACCATAGAGGGAAAATAAGAGATCATTCATAAACATGAAAATGGTATGAGGGTTGTTGAATTAGCTAGGCAGTACAACAAATCCATGTTAACGATATCCACTGTAATTGCTAAGAAAAAGACACTATGCGCGCTAAAGTGGCAAAAGGCATAACAACAATCACGAAACAAAGGACACAAACACTTGAGGATGTAGAAAAGTTATTATTAATTTGGATAAACAACAAGCAGTTAGCAAGTGATAGCATTTCAGAGGCTATCATTTGTGAAAAGCAAGGATGGTGCATGAAGATCTGATAAAGAAAACCTCCTGGAACAAGTGATGCAGATAGGAAAGAATTTAAGGCGAGCAGGGGATGGTTTGAGAACTTTAAAAAAAAGAAGTGGCATTCATAGTGTTGTGAGGCATAGGGAGGGTGCCAGCTCATATAAACCAGCAGTTGAAAGATTTGTTGAAGAATTTTGTTGAAAGTAAGGGATACCTACCACAACAAGTGTTTAATTGTGACGAAACAGGGCTATTCTGGAAAAAATTGCAGAAGAGGATATACATTATGAAGGAGGAGAAGTCACTGCCCAGACCCAAGCCTATGAAAGATAGGCCAACTCTTGTGCTGTGCGGTAATGCAAGTGGCGATTTGAAAATTAAACCCTTGCTTGTGTATCATTCCGAAAATCCAAGGGTCTTCAAAAAATATAATGTGCAGAAAAACAAAATGTGTGATGTGGAGGGCTAATAGTAAGACATAGGTGACAAGGCATTTTTTTACCGAGTGGGTGAATGAAGTGGTTTGCCCTTCCATCGAAAAATATCTGCAGGAGAACAGTTTGCCACTCAAGGCCCTGCTTCTCCTCGACAATGCTCCTGCTCATCCTCCAGGCTTGGAGGATTCATTGTTGGAAGAATTTAGTTTTGTTACAGTACAGTTCCTTCCTCCCAACACCACTTCTCTAATTCAGCCTATGGACCAGAAAATCATTTCCAATTTTAAGAAACTTTACAGCAGAGCACTTTTCCAGAAATGTGTCAAAGTGACCGATGCCACAAACCTCACCCTCTAAGAGTTCTGGAAAAAACATTTTAACATTTGTAGTTCTTTAAAACTCATAGACAAAGCCTGGCAAGAAGTGACTCTAAGAACCATGATCTCTGGCTGGAGAAAATTGTGGCCTGACTGTGTTGCAGAACGAGACTTTGAGGGGTTTGAGCCTGAACCTGAAGTGCCTCTGGTTGAGGAAATTGTTTCTCTGGGCCGGCAATTGGGCTTGGAGATGGATGGTGCTGATGTGGAGAAGTTGGTGGAGGAACACAACGAAGAACTGACCATCGGAGAACTCCTAGCCCTTCACAAGGAGCAGCTACAAGAGACAGCAGAGAAAATTTCTTCAGGGAAGGATGAGGCAGTAGAGTATTTCCCTTCCTCGACAATTAAGAAATGGTGTACAATATGGGAAGAAATGCAAACTTTTGTTGAAAATGCTCACCCAAATTAAGCTGTAGCAGGCCGTTGAGTTAAATTTTTTAATGACAATGTGATGTCTCACTTCAGCCAAGTGTTACAACGTAGGGAAAAACCAAGTGTCGCTAGACAGGTTTTTAGTGAGAAAAACAAGCAGCGAGTCACAAGCAGGTCCTAGCGGTGTGCAGGCAAAACATAGGAGAGTACCCCAAAAAAGTCATCACTTCCTGATGTTATAATGGAAGGGGGGACTCCCCTTCCAAACAGTCAACAGTTGTATGCTGTTTGTGGAACAAACATTTTTGGAAATGTTCGCTTTTGGACTTCCGTGGTAAAATGTCCTTTGATCCGGAAAACTGGCAAGGGGTCCTTCCCATATAGTCTGGATTAGCGAACTTCTACAGTAAATGGAAATGGAAAAATAATAATAATGAAGCTTCTCAAAGTTATAAATTTTTCAGTCAAAGAAGGGATCTGGAATAACAGTCAAGTTTTGATGTCACACTATCCTTACAATGCTTAAAAAATAAATAAGCAAAATTTTTTTATAGTTACCACAATGTAACTAAGTGAGAATTCATACATTTTTCTAACAAGATTAAGATGATAAAGGTAAATATATGCATAAAATTACCATAAAATTAGACCTTTACTATATTCCAGAGAAAAATAAAATAAATGAGCTTATAATTATCAAGTGAGTCATATTTAACTAAAGACCAGGCAAACATACTTCATAACTTCTGCATAACTCATAGCTTCATCAATACCAGGAAAGGCTCCCAGCACTTCTTGCATAATATCCCGACCCATGCGCATGGCATCTGTTGCACCTTCAAAATATTCATCAGGAAGTTCTCCATACCCTATATTTGGGTCTATTTCCTGAAATAAACAGAAATATCAATAACAACTAAGATACAAGTAAGGCTTTGAACTACTAGTATACGGATAGTGCTTTTCTTGCCAGATAATTCAGCTGCTCCCTAAATCAAATTCATTCTGTCTTGAGGAAAGATTCATTAAAGTCAGGAAGGATGATATATTGGCACTGGTGCCGCAGAGATTCCAAGCTGCCCCTATAGGATCAAAATAACTTACTGGTAAATATTCTGTCGAGCCCAGAATGATCAACAGATGAACCATTGTGGTTGGCCTTGGAAAAAAAGCCCTCACCAAAGTCTGACAAGGCCAGGAACAGGTAGAGCAAGAGGGCATGAAGGAGACTAAATCCAGAAAAACCCAGAAAGCAAAATGACCATGCAGAATCCACCCCAGGTGAAACGGGGTGGATTCAAAGGATTTGATTTGGGTGGATTTGAAGATTGCACTGCTCAATCCAGGCAGTAGCAAAAGGATTCCTACCAGGAAAACAGTAAACACTTTTAGTCACACACAACCCACAGGTAAACCATGTGAAGTTCAAACTACCCTAAAGGCACTCCCAAGTTCTGATGAGAAAGCCAAGATATTCCCAGCACTTCCCAGAGAGATGAAGGCCATCCTGATATCCCAGTCTAGTTCTAACCAAGTCAGAACCCAAGGAGGAGCTAACTGCAACTTCTGCCAGTTATCAAGCAGCAGAGGTGGGCAAACTGGGAATGAATAAGATTCATTCTTTAGGCCTGGGCGATGACCGGGCCGCGAGAACGCTAAGTCCCGAAAACATCACAAGATAATCACAAGGTATGACGTTATTGCACACAAAATGCACACGAGGAATTACTGGCAGAGTAGGGAGATGGATCTTTAACTTCTTAACAAACAGAACCCCACAGTATGATACAGTAATCAACATGGTAAAATCTGGATCATCCACTGTGAAAAGCCGTCTCCCAAGATACTGTGCTTGCTCTTGGTACTTCTCTCATCTTTATATCAGATATAGTTATGGATACAAACTATAGTACTGTATCATCCTTTGCAGATGACACTAAGAAATATAAACGATACAGCAAACCTCCAATCTGAAGTTAATCAAGTCTTTCAATGGGCCACAGAAAATAACATTTCACTGTCAGCTAGAAAATTTTTCATCCATGTTAGAAGCTTACCTGTCACTCCTCCAATATGTTCCAGTTTCCAGAACAACCTTTTATGTGGACCTTGTCGAAAGCCTTTTTCAGGTCCAGATAGATGCAGTACACCCAACCATCTCTTTCCTGTAAAATCTCTGTAGCTCGATCATAGAAACTAAGTAAATTCGTCACACAGGATCTTCCAGATCGAAAACCATACTGTCTGTTATTATGCTATTTTTCTCCAGTTGTCTTATCCATTTAGTTTTAATTATTTTGTCCAATATTTTGACTATTACACTTGTCAATGATACAGGTCTATAATTGAGGGGGTCTTCCCTGCTGCCACTTTTGTAGATTGGAACTATGTAAGCCTTTTTCCACACATCTGTTAGGACTCTGTATACAGGGATGCCTGAAAAATGAGTTGAAGTGGAATGCTGAGCTCAGGTGCACCTTCTCTTAGAACCCATGGTGAAAATTCTGAAAGTTCCTGGGCATTTCTGGGACATCTGGGCCAACTGTTTTGTTCTTACTTGGCTCATTGAGCATTTTTTCCACTGCTTAAGGAGCTTTTCACTGCACTGCATTTTTTTCCATATCTTCACCTATATATGGGAAAGTGGATGTAACACGAACATCAGAATCATCAAATTGTGGTTTGTGTTACAAAATTATCACAGTCATCCCTCGCAAATTCACCCATACTCCTATTGCCACCACCATCACTGGTAATAACCACCACCATGGAAGCCGCTGTTCATCTGTGCCACTTGTATCATCACAATCCAGAAAACAATTCATCTGTAGTATCATCTATAAAAACTGGAGATGACACGGGTGGCACTCGGCTATTACTGGATACGCTCACAGTATCGTCCTCATACATGCTGTATCACTTGTATCCGACCCTTGTGTTAGGACCTTATTGTGCATAGCTTCATCAATATCATAACCCTTATGTTCTTCAAATAATAAGGTCTGAATTTCACTGACAGAGAGCAATCTTTCAACACTGCGTCAGACAGGTGTTTGGGAGCCAGAGGCACGTGTGCCACCCACGGTTGCTCACTTGGAACTAAGCCAGCCAGCAGCCCCAGGGCATTCTGGGAATTTTTTCCAAGATTGCTGCCTCTCGCTGGAGGTCCCAAGAGTTAACTTAATACCCAACCAACTGCATGCGTATTTTGAATTATACGAATTATTAAAAAGGTGCAGACCAGAAGTAACAATAATGTGACTGAAATACGTTGACCAAACCACACACTAGAAAGTGAAGGGATGACGATGTTTCGGTCCATCCTGGACCAATCAAGTTGATTGACAATTGACTTGAGAATAGTCCAGGACAGACCGAAACGTCGTCGTCCCTTCTCTTTCTAGTGTGTGTGTGGTTTGGTCAACATTATAAAGGCGTTTTCTCGGTTCGCACTATTTCCAACAAACCGAGTTTTCTCGGCCGGCGCAGTCCAGTGGTTAAAAGGTCAGATGCAACATAAACAAGGAATAATGGTTTTAAGCTCAAGCCACAATGTAGGACAGAAAACAAGTGATATTTTTTCACCCATAGGATTATACTGTAAATCCATGGAACTGCCATCCCACTAAAGTCATAAATGCCAAAACACTGTTGCAATTCAAGATCAAGCTCAATAAAACCATCAGGAAAAATGGGGAAACCTTGACAAACCACCAGCTCCTTGTCCTCATCAGCACCACTAGAAAGACAAATGCCCTCGGGTAAACTCACATAATACTTTTCAAGTAGCAATTTTTCTCAGTGATCTAGTATCCTCTGCTCCCTTCATCTTGGTGAAGAGACCAAGTTTGTGTCTGGTCTCTAGTAGGATTTTAATGACTCACAAGGGCCTGATGCAATTTGATATATATGTAGCTCTCCAGAGCAGCTACCAACAGGGAACCACTGATGAAGTCCTTACAGAAATACAGTACTGTACAGTATTCTGAGAAACGATGATACAGTATTTATCAATAAACAATAAATTATGCCGAAAGATTCATCAGAACAAAATATTTTTTCTTACTAAAAGATTCATATCACAAAGTGCCTATATCCAAGTGCCTAATAACTAAGAAAAATTATTCAATATAATTTCAAATTACTTTGTTTTCAAATGACAAAAAAAAAAACTTACCATTGCATATAAATTTTCAAATCCTTTAACTTTAGTTGGAACCTTTGAGAACTTTTGGTCAAAGGCATCAGAGATATTGTGTGCAGGATCTGTAGATATGATGAGGACAGAATCTCGGACTTTCGAGAGTTGTACTGCCAAACTACAGCTGCAAATGTTGAAGAATGCTATTAAAAATCATAAAAATGTATATTTTAAAAATATTTTATAGTTCGGTATTGTAATGAGTTAAACAAAGAACACCAATGTGAACACTTGTAAACACCTAACAAGATGAGAAGTGAACAATTGAGAACTTTGAACTCTCTGAACACTTGTGAACAGTAAGGCATAGTGGGCTTCAGTTATGACCCTGGCCCCATTGTTGCAGATGGGACCCAGGAAAGTATGGCATTTATTTATATAATATGATGGACCCTTGTTAGGTTAATTATTATTGTGATAGGCCCTAAATGTTGTGAGAATATATGTTAGGAGAATTGTTGTTTAAATTATAGTTTTTTAGATGGGCTTGGTTAAGAAATAATGTTAATTGTTCGGTAGAATTATACACAGGCTAGCTTCTTAACTTGTAAATGGCAGGCTGTGGAGGCGTAAGAGCACTTGATGCTCCTAGCTAGTTAGTTACACTGTGATGATATTTGTATAGTGTATAGTAAAGCTTGGATGTTACATTTATACTTAGAATCCAATGGTGAAAATTAAATATTGTATTAGAGAGTTACTGCGGTTACTGTATGATCAGCTGATCAAGCCAGGCAACCAGTTGCATGGTGACGGCAATCTATCCCCTCTTGCTGGCTGAACCTCTGGCGGTCTGGACATGCTGGTGTGGCACCCTATTTCCTTCTCTCCTACTCTAAAGTACTCTAGGTTATTACTATGTTAAGTACCACCCCTGTAAAGTGCTATACTTCTGTTCTGAGTGTAATCTTGTCTGTGTTACCCCTGGTCATAACCTGGAGATCCATGCAACTAGATCTAGGTACTGGCCAAAGAGCACGTGTTTGGTATACATATACAATAATCTTTTACGTGAAGTATAGTCCCTTAAGGAATCGTAGACTTTACCATTAGTTTGCTGGTACAGTATGTGAATTTCGTCTCCTGCATATGTGCAGTCAGAGAGGTAACAAAGTAGATGTGGTACAGTACTGCGATTGTAAATTGGGAGTTCATTTAATAAATGCTGTAGTGCAAGTTATCAACAGGAGTTTTATCATCTCTGCTCCTTGACTAGGGTTAGGCAATTCTGCTCTAGACTGCAGACTATCTTATCAGAATTCTTAAACGTTATTCCAGGTAACAAGTTTGTTGGGGGGCTTGGCCTAGCCTAACCTTTATAGACGATACTCCCCCTTACACTATTTGTCCTCCAACAGCCCCATGCTATAACAGCTTTGATGAATACCATGAAGGCCAAACACAATGATGGAGATCATTTGAAGGTGTTAGTAGTCCACCGCTCAGTGATGGTGACCTCATATTGGGTAGGGGCGGGGAAAGGAAGAGAGGAAACGGTGATGTTCCTGACCATACAGTATATGGGCAGAATGAAGGGACAAGGGGATAGAATAAAATAAGGGTCTGTGAGGAGAAAGAGAGGAGTGGGTGGTTGTCTGTGATTTTCTGAGTGACCTGGTATAGGAGGTGACTGCCAAAGTCCCAACAATAATAAAGGCACACATCATTTGATCAGAGCTTTTCTCGATTGCCTTTAGGTTTATATTTAGAATAGGATGTTTATTTGAATTACTAATTAATAAATTAGAACTAAAATCAAGCATTAATCTTCACTTACATTCTTCAGTGATTTTTCCAATGTCTATTTTTAATATACAAAGATATTCACTAAATATTTTGGATAAACTAAGTCTCAATTAAATAAACAAAATTATACCCCTACATGGTAAGCAAGAATGATATTGGGTGTTACAGTTAAAAGCAGAGGTGCAACAGATACTCTGAGAGAGAACTCTATCAACATCAGAGGCCTGAGACTGTTCAACACGCTTCCACTACACATAAGGGGTATAACTAGCCGACTGCTCACAGTGTTCAAGAGAGAACTGAATAATCACCTCCAAAGGATACCTGATCAACCAGGCTGTGATTCATATGTCAGGTTGCGGGCAGCCAAACCAAACAGCCTGGTTGACCAGTCCAGCAACGAGGAGGCCTGGTCGATGACCGGACCGCGGGGACGCTAAGCCCCGGAAACACTTCAAGGTAAGGTTAAAGAGTAAATGTTAAAAAATAGCATTGGCTGCCTGCTGGGATGAGGACGAGGATCATAAAAGATGTTGGCTTGAAGTACATTCATATGCACTAATTATTTTCTAAGCTCTTCTCCTCATTTCAGAATGGGAATTAGCTACATTAACCCAAGATTCAGTAATTGAGGCCACTAACCAGTGTTAATGGCTTCAAGAGTTAAAAGCTACTAACTCTTTAAGGATATTGGATTTAAGAGTTAACACTTTCGCGCTATCGGCGTTCTGAAAAAAATCATACCCTATGTTATATCGGCGTTTCGCGCGCCTAAGCGGTAAGACCGAAAAGTGTATACTCTTTTGACTGTCCTGACACTAATTGTAGGCGTACGTATTTAAATTTTTAAATTTGGTATCACTGTGTTCGCAATAGAATTATCTATAAGAACATACCTATAAAATGCCGCCAAAGCATAAAGCACATCAACACCAAATAAAAAACTATTCAGATCACTTGCCGAGAGCGCCAAACAACAACAAAATGTTTCCACTCTCTTAATGGTTGTGAAGCCCACAGTTGTGCTACAGCGTTAATTTTGGTATCACTGAAATCGCAATAAAATTCTCTACACGGACATATGCATATAAATATAGATTCAATGTCGTAGCCCACCCAAAACAGTGTGGGAAGTGGCCGAAGTGTTACCCGCGGCGGCATATCGGCGAAACTCGCTTTGAAAAGTGTATATTCAATTCACTGTCCTAACATTATTTTTCGATGTATGTATTTCATTTTTGTTCCAATGTGTTCGCAATAGAATGTTCTATAAGAACATAAGTATTAAAGGTCACATAAGGATGCGTTCGACCGGCAACATATATAAAAACTACGTCGCTTATACTCGTCATGTCAATAATACAATTGTTTTACCACGATGATTCACTGCCACACCGTTCTCTTTAATAAGCTGTTCGGCTATTAGAGAAAACGAAAATTTCATGGCAAACATTTGTAAACTATTCCCAAGTTGATCGGATAATAAATGGATTTTTTACAAATATTTTTTCTCGTGACTCCCGAGCGCGGCACGCCAGCGTAGTCAGTAAGAATATTGGTGACGAATATGTTGTCACCAATGTGCGAAAGTGTTAAGGATACAATTCGTACAAAGTTGTATCCTTAGCTCTTTAAGGATACAACTCATCCTTGAGCGTCAAATGATCTTCAATCATTTGATACTCAAAGATTAGTTGTCTGCAAGCCCATTGGGTATTATGTGATACCATCATCTCCTATGCTCATTGCAATTCAAATTTTATAAGTTTATTTGAAACAAAAGTTTGATACACATGGCAACTATTTCATTCACTTTGGAAACTCCATAAGTACACTTTGTTTTTGTTTTTACAAACAACCCTGTAATGTGATGCTTTGAACATCTTATAAATAAAATAACATGCTTACTGTTTTAATAAACCTGAAATTGAAAGAGACCGACACTATTTTGAGAAACTATGGCTAACAGGAAAGATATTGCCGACACTAAAAAGACAGAAAGCAATAGTTTAAGGAACTAGATTAAATTTAGAACAGAGACCTATATATGCAGACATAACAAAACATACAATATAGAAGTGCGGCATTTGTAGTTGCTAGAATTAGGCTGAAATATCGATACATGTGGAAGGTGGCTGCAGGTAATGAATCCTTCAACAGTGATTACTCCATTTGTAAACTATATGAACAAATGCCAGGACACACCCTTCAGCATCGATTCACAATGATTTGATACTATGAGCTTTGTAATTATTTTATTAATTTCATGGATATTGGAAGACATACTCATGTTCTACCCAAAGTTTACCAGTGCAGGCTAGTAGACTAGGCTCCCATCTCGTGTTCTTCCCTTAATTCCATGTATGACTAACCATCTTGTAAGATGGGGACATTGGATAAATTTTGTCTAGCTCTTGATCTATGCTCTGTAATCCCTCATATAGAATATAGGGTGTGAACCTAACATTGTTTATAAACAATAAATATTATTAGCACATGAATGGCCGCCAGTCTCACCTCGTTGTGGTTTTCCCCACTCCACCTTTGCCTCCAACGAATACCCATTTCAACGTATTCTGTTCGACTATGTTTTTGAGGGAAGGCTCTAATGGCTCCAGGTCAGAAATGTCCACATCAGCTGCCTCTTCCGCCATAACTGAGACTAGCAGGTGCGAGACAAGGAGGCAACACGACACCCACCGCCAGCTCCACCACCACAATAGCAACACAACGAACCTAACCATATTTACATTTTCAATAAGTTAGAATTTACTGACCAGAACACCAGACACATAATAGCAATACAAAGTGATAATAATATAAAACCTAATAAAATATTATTAACATTTAGTGAAATCGAATAATGAAAACAAATTGCACTATCATCAAGGGATACGGACGTGTTTATTCTCAGTTGTCAAATTTTACCTGAATTTACCTGAGGGCCACTATCTCTATAGTGGTCTCGACCATGGCAGGAAGCTGACAGCTTGTCAAAGATTCACTCATTTGTCCTGATGATTTTATCGAACTGGATTTTGAAATTCAGCTGTATTTTGGCATTTACGGCTTAGGCGGGTAAGCAGTTCCATGGCTTTATAATTTTAATAATTCATTGTGTCGGGGGACAGGGAGCCAGAGTGCATTCATACACGTTAGGTTTGTAGCGATTATATTATGTCAATAATATACTTGCTCCAAACTCTCATTAGCTTAATGATATGAGTTTGTTAAGTCTACTTAATCCACTAATGATAAAACTCATACCTCTTCCCTAATATGACCATAACACAGTGCAGCCTCAGTTCAGTATAGATACATTGAGTCATGCGTTAACTCACCCACTTGTACATTAGTTCAAGTTCAAGTATGTTCATTAAGACAAGAAAAAAATACATCTCAAAGGGATAGAGTAGCTTAGGCTATTTCTACTTCCCTTTGCATTAGTTGATGTATAGTAGTGCTCTGACGATTGAGGGCGGTTAGAAACTTTAATTACAAAACCTGTGGATAAACAAAGGGGCCGTTGGTGTAGTTGGCACCGGGGTGGCACTGCTGTACCTCTTAGGACTAACTCTTCGCCCGCCCAGGAATGGAGGATATTTTATATACATATATATATATATATATATATATATATATATATATATATATATATATATATATAATATATATATATATATATATATATATATATATATATATATATATATATATATATATATATACAAGAAGGTACATTGGGTTTATGAGAGTACATAGCATTGATGATTTTACATTCTTGTAAAGCCACTAACACGCAAAGCGTTTCGGGCAGGTCCTTAATCTAATAGATAATTTTAAGTAGGTAATTTCTAGCAAAATTGAAAAAATGTTAACAGGTACTTTGTAAGAAAATTTGACAATGATTAGTACGTACATTAAAGTAAAATTTGAGGGTTAACAACAGGTACATTGTTGCATAATTTGAGCATTATTTCAAGGAATAATAGAGTAACATATGCGTTCAATATAACAACCATGATATAAGATGATAGCAGTGATTACAATGGTAAAGTTGTATGGCATATGCTCATATATTGGGGGAGTGGGTAGCACTAGATACAGTGTGAGTTTAAAGCACCAGGTAGGAAACTATGAGGATGAAATTAGGTACGTTTTGGTTTTATTTTTGAATAAGGCAAAAGTTTGTCAGCTTTTCAATTCGTTAGGGAGTGAGTTCCATAGACCAGATCCCTTTATTTGCGTAAAATGTTTACACAGATTAAGTTTGACTCTGGGGATATCAAAGATATATTTATTTCTGGTGTGGTGATTGTGTTCTATTACATCTGTCCAAGAAGAATTTCAGAACTGGGTTTTGTAAATGTAATTGACACAATAGAATGTGTGTAGTGAGGTTATGTTTAGCATGTATAGAGATTTAAACAGGGGGGCTGAGTGTTGTCTGAGAGGCGAATTTGGCCCGTTCTTGGAAGAACAATTAAAATGTATAGAAATCCTAGTGAAGGGAATGCGTCATATTTATCTGCAAATATTGTTTGTAATATATTGAATTAATGGGACAACAGGTTCTTTGTACTATTCTTGAAGAAGTGAGAGTCAAAGTATTATTCAATAAGTGTAGATGCCACTGCGGAGATCTCACACACAGATCAACTGACATTTACTGTCCGATATATGAACGACTGTGACCCTGTGGAACGTTTCTTGACGTTCATCCCACCTTCTCTCATGGACCAAAGGATCTAACAGACACTGTCCTGGATTTTTCTTAATGAGAACAAAATTCCATTTTGTTCTCATTAAGAACAAAATGGAATCGCTTAAATCGTGGGGGAAAGGGGCTCGATATAAGCCTAACATGTATTGTATATATATATATATATATATATATATATATATATATATATATATATATATATATATATATATATATATATATATATACTGGCTGCCTGTCCCTCAACACAATAAATTATTAATTCCACTATCAAACTGCCGTGATCAGTCATACGATAATGTCACAAATATGTCTTTTGGAAAGACCAAAATGCCAGCACTCACGGTTCATCCCCCCCCCGGGAGTGCTGGTTCACTACACGGTTCATCCCCCGTGAGTGCTGGTTCACTACACGGTTCATCCCCCGTGAGTGCTGGTTCACCACACGGTTCATCCCCCGGGAGTGCTGGTTCACTACACGGTTCATCCCCCGTGAGTGCTGGCTCACTACACGGTTCATCTCCCGGGAGTGCTGGTTCACCACACGGTTCCTGTACTACAGGAAGGTCTCCGGGGCGAACAAAGCCCGGGGCAGCACGACAGCTCCTGTGTTCCCATTGTGTGGCGGGATTGGCGGAGTTTCTCTGAACGAGCCGCCCCGATCCCTCCTGCTAACTGGGGATCAGTGAGCCCAGAGAGTGAAGGCAGTCTCCTACGCTAATGATTCACCTTTGTCTACAGTGTTCGAGGCAGTACATAGGGGAAAGGCAGAATAGAGGACGTATTGGAAGAGGTGGACATCTTCAAGAGGAAACTAGATTGTTTCCTCCAAGGAGTGCCGGACCAACCGGGCTGTGGTTGGTATGTGGGCCTGCGGGCCGCTCCAAGCAATAGCCTAGTGCACCAAACTCTCACAAGTCAAAGCCGGGCTTGGGGAGTAGAACTCCCAGAACCTTATCAACCAGGTATTGGTTCACGACTAACTTTCCTGGTATGCAGTACATTAATGTCGTCCCAGAATTTTAGATAGAAAACAGAACTGGAAATTTTGAAGGCAAAAGCATGTAAATGACATGCTTTGCTGCATCATCTTAAATACACAAAGCAGCATCTAGCTTCCGGTTAATAGATAACTTGATTATAAATCTAAAAAATTGTTGTATGAAACTCCAAAGATCACAGTGACACAACAAAAGTGATAAAATATAAAGTACTGTATAAAAGTCTATGACATGACAGAGAGAGACACGCTCAACAAATTGTTTCAGGAGTGAACCTGAGCTGAGCCAACGAATTGTTTTGTACATAAGAAGTCCTGTGTACACCGAATTCACCTCGTTCAGTAAGCTCTAAGATTTTCATTTTTCCAAATCATGCATAGCGAATTATCTTGGTTACAATTTTCATCACTTCTTTACGTTCCTTAAAGCTATTTTTTTTTGCTCTGAAAACCCTCTCGTGAACAATAAAATTAAAGCCTAACAGTGAATCTCGAACATATTTTTCAAACACATTAACAAAACCACCTTAACCAATCATGCTGGGCGCACCTTCAGTTGTCACAATAACTATTGTTTAGACAATTCGTTTATTACTTTCATGCATATTTCAGCCCCTATGGTATTTTTGGGCAACGTTACCAACTAGTGCTTTTCTTACTTCATCTCCCCTACCAAACCGAGCAATAGATAGCCTAGCTGATGATGTACCATCAGTGCTCTCATCACGACAAATGGAAAGTGATTTACATGTATCAGCATCTTCTGTTAGGTGTTGTGGCTTCTTTGTCACCAACTTTAATATTCTATCTTTTACTGTGTTTCCACTCATTGGCAAATTCTTTGTGCACTGAATATTTTCCTTTTCTGAAAAAAACTCCTCAAAATGAAAAGGAGAGCAGCATTCTTGCCCTGATTCTTTAATGTATTCTCCAACACTGAGTGGGTTTCCATGTTGAGCAATTATTTTGCAGCAACTAGGTAGAAAGTACCTGCAACAAACCCAACAACAACTAAGTGGGAACCACCAGCAACAACTAAGTGGGAACCACCTGCAACAACTAAGTGGGAACCACCAGCAACAACTAAGTGGGAACCACCTGCAACAACTAAGTGGGAACCACCAGCAACAACTGAGTGGGAACCACCAGTAACAACTAAGTGGGAACCACCAACAACAACTAAGTGGGAACTACCAACAACAACTAAGTGGGAACCACCAGCAACAACTAAGTGGGAACCACCAGCAACAACTAAGTGGGAACCACCAACAACAACTAAGTGGGAACCACCAACAACAACTAAGTGGGAACCACCAGCAACAACTAAGTGGGAACCACCAACAACAACTATGTGGGAACTACCAACAACAACTAAGTGGGAACCACCAGCAACAACTAAGTGGGAACCACCAACAACAACTAAGTGGGAACCACCAACAACAACTATGTGGGAACCACCAACAACAACTATGTGGGAACTACCAACAACAACTAAGTGGGAACCACCAGCAACAACTAAGTGGGAACCACCAGCAACAACTAAGTGGGAACCACCAACAACAACTAAGTGGGAATCACCAACAACAACTAAGTGGGAACCACCAACAACAACTAAGTGGGAACCACCAACAACAACTAAGTGGGAACTACCAACAGCAACTAAGTGGGAACCACCAACAACAACTATGTGGGAACCACCAACAACAACTATGTGGGAACTACCAACAACAACTAAGTGGGAACCACCAGCAACAACTAAGTGGGAACCACCAGCAACAACTAAGTGGGAACCACCAGCAACAACTAAGTGGGAACTACCAACAACAACTAAGTGGGAACTACTAACAACAACTAAGTGGGAACCACCAACAACAACTAAGTGGGAACTACCAACAACAACTAAGTGGGAACCACCAGCAACAACTAAGTGGGAACCACCAGCAACAACTAAGTGGGAACCACCAGCAACAAACCCAACAACAACTAAGTGGGAACCACCAACAACAA